CTCTGTCTCTTTCTTTTTCTTTTTCTCTCTCTCTCTCTCTCTCTATCTATCTCATTATTTTTTTCCACCCATTTTTCTTCCACCCTATCCAACCTTTTTTGCCCTGTTCTAATCTATCTATCCATTGTAATATGCATGACTCTCTCCTTTCTTCTCTTTCTCTCTCTCTCTCTCTCCTTTCTTCTGTATGTCTTTCTCTCTCTCTTTCTCTCTCCTTTCTTATGTTTATGTCTTTCTTTCTTTCTTTCTTTCTTTCTCTCTTTTTTTTCTGTTCTTATCTTGCTAACGCAATTAACATCAGCTAGAGCAGCAGACAAAAATCCTACCAATAAAAATAAATTTTCATTGAATTGAAAGCCTATATATTGGAAATAATATTAAAAATCAGTAATAATAATATTATATTATAATAATTAGTAATAATAATTATTATTATAATAATTATTATTATTTTTGTTATTAATTATGCCATATTTATTTTTCCGTTTGGAAATTTGTTAAAGTTGGAGACAAAAAATGAAAAAGGCAATAAAGCAGAAAGAGAAAGAGAAAGAGAGAGAGAGAGAGAAGAGAAGAGAGAAAAAAGAGAGAAAGATAATAATAATAATAATTATTAATATTATAATTATAATTATAATGATTCCACAGCCAGAGAATTTGTTATATTACAGTCCGGCGGAGGATTCGAAAATTATGATCAGTGATTTCGGACTGTCGAAGACTGCAGAATCTGGTATCATGGCGACAGCCTGTGGCACTCCTGGATACGTCGGTCAGTGAGTGAGTGAATGAGTAAATGAGTGAGTAAATGAGTGAGTAAATGAGTGAGTGAGTGAGTGAGTAAATGAGTGAGAGGGTGAGTGAGTGAATAAGTAAGTAAGTGAGTGAGTGAGTGAGTGAGTGAGTGAGTGGGTGAGTGAGTGAGTGAGTGAGTGAGTGAGTGAGTGAGTGAGTGAGTGAAAAGAGGAAATTAATGGATAAAATGAGTTAGTGAATGGATAGATGAATGGTGAATGGATGAATGGAAGTATGGATGTATTGATTGAATGAATGAATGAATGAAAGAATGAATGAACGAATGAACAAATGAGTGGATGAATAATTGAGAGAAAGAACAAATGAATGAATAAAGGACGAAATATACAAGCCGAACTGTAAGAGACTGAATTAAACGTAACCATCATCATCATCACCATTACTATCATCATCCCCGTCATCATCCCCATTACTATCATCATCACCATCATCACCACCGTCATCATCATCATCAGCACCGGAAGTACTAGCTCAGCAGCCGTACGACAAAGAAGTCGATGTTTGGTCCATAGGGGTCATCTCGTATATACTGTTAGTGACGTCATCATCATCATCATTATCATTATTATTATTATTTTATTATTATTGTTATTATTATTTAGCATCATTTGACGTTGCCATTATCCTCATCTTTACTACTACTACCACCGCCACCACTACCACCGCCACCACTACCACCGCCACCACTACCACCGCCACCACTACCACCGCCACCACTACCACCGCTATCATCGTCGTCGTCATAATTATTTTCTCACCTAAAGCAATGAGAACAATTAATATGATTCAAAGTAGGTGCAATATGGCGATGATGTTGCCGATGATGATGATGATGATTAGGTCTTCGATGATGATGATGATGGTGGTGGTGGTGGTGGTGATGATGGTGGTGATGATGATGGTGGTGGGGGAAATTTTGATGATGATGACGACGATGATGTTGAAGTGTCCAAGCAGTAATTTCTCACTCTACAAACACAACACGCCATCCAATAAATCAGAGAGATCTGGGCTGATGATGATGATGAAGGTGGTGGGGGTGGTGATGATGCTGCCTCTTGTGATGATGATGATGATGGTGATGATATCGCTTATGTTGTTGTTGATGATGGTGATGATGTTGTTGTTTTTGTTTTTATTTATCGAATTCAAATTAGTTTTATTCAGTATTATGATGATGACAACGAACAATAACTAACTGTCACCACCATCATCATTACTGTTATTATCATCATCATCAACGTCATCGTTATCATCATCTTCTTCTTTACCGTCATCATCAGCATCGTCATCATCATCTTCATCATCATCCTCTTCTTCTTCTTCATCATCATCATCTTCATCATTATTCTCATCATCATCATCATCATCATCATCATCAGATTATGTGGCTATCCGCCATTCTATGATGAAAATGACTCGGAACTGTTCCGGCAGATCCTGAAGGCGGAGTACGAGTTCGATTCTCCATATTGGGACGAAATTTCAGAATCCGGTTAGTTTTATTTTAGTTTTTTTTTATTCGAATTATTTATTTGTAAAAATTATTATGAATAATTATGATTAACATTAATTATGGGCGATTACAATTTAATTATCTTGTTCGTAGTCATTCGTTCTTCTCCCACGTTTGTTTCTTCATTCATTCATTTATACATTCATTCATTCCTTTATTCATTCCTTCCTTCATTCCTTCCTTCATTCCTTTATTCATTCATTCATTCCTTCCTTCATTCCTTAATTCCTTCATTCATTCATTCATTCATTCACTCACTCAGCAAAAGATTTCATAAGCAACTTAATGTGCAAGGACGTATCGAAAAGATTTACATGCAAAACAGCCCTAGGACACACCTGGTATGTTTGTCTCATTGTTTGTTTGTTTGTTTGTATGTTTGTTTGTATGTTTGCAGGTTTGTTTGTTTGTTTGTTTGTTCACATGTTCGTTTGCATGTTTGATTATTTGCTCCTTTGTTTGTCTGTTTGTTTGTGTATGTATATGTATGTATATATGTTTGTTTGTTTGTTTGAATACGTATGCGTATATGCATGTATGGATGTTTGTTTGTTTGTATGTACGTATATATGTATGATATATATATATATATATATATATATATATATATATATATATATATATACAGCTATACACACACACACACGTACACACGCACACACGCACACACACGCACACTCACGCATACACACACGCACACACACACAAAGGATTAGTGGGAACACTGCATGGCACAAAGACATACACGCCTCCGTCAGCGCTCAGATGAAGAAGAATTTTGCGAAGTCAAAATGGAAGGTTATGATAATGATGATGATGATGGTGGTAGTGATGGTGATTATCGCCATCAGTGATGGTAGTGATGGTGATTATCACCATCGTGATGATGGTGTTTATAATAAATAGCTGGTGGGCGAGTCTCAGCTCAGTCGGTAGGAGTGCCGTGTTTTGCGATGTAATTGCGTGATGGCAGGGTTCGAATACTGCCTGCTCGACCGAAAATGAATGACTCTTAGACGCCACTTAAGTATGACACCTATACACACACGTACACACACACGCACACACACATGCACACACACATGCACGCACACACACTTCGCTTTGTTTGTTTTTGGGGAAATTCTTTCTGTTTCTGTAAACTCGCTCGCTCAACGTTAAATAACTCGATGTTGTTAGTGTACATAAAATTAATAATAGATGACTTTAATTGACGACTTACATGTGTTGAGTATTAGTTAGTGTTTAAAATGTTTCAATGTTTAAGAATGGAAATCGAACGAGAAACGACTCACCCATTATTGTTAATGATATTTTATTAAATATATTTTAACGAAGTCAAATAACAAAAATGAACGCGTGTTAAAGAGATAACTCCTGACTGAGATAACACACGCTCTGTTCTTGTCTGTTATATACCAGGAGACCTTGCTACCTAGAGCTTAACTAGTTGTCTAACTCCTTCCAACCAGTCAATCCTCATTCATATTATCAAAATATTACATGCTCTGATTAATTATACATTATATTATTTTGTACTAAGCTGCTTTATGCCTGTAACTCTGCTGCCTCGTTGTAAACTACTTTAATAACTTTACCATCATTACAATTACATACCTACTTTAACACATATCTACACCACATACAATCTTGTATTTACTTGTAACTCATAACTTAAATTATTATCTACGTAATACTAGTATGAACGACGTGTCGTGTGGTGGGGTGTGCACGTACATCGTGTGATGTGAATAACAATAATAATAACAACAATAATAACAACAATAATAATAACAATAATAATAATAACAATAATAATAATAACTCACTGACCACAGCAAGCCTACAATGCAACTGCAGTTATCAGACAGATGAG